GGGGGGGTACTAGTAGACTATGGGGGCTGTAATTTCAGAATTCTGCACTGGGCTGCAGTGTATTTCATTTTAAAGTAAGATACGTTTATGGATATTCACCATCACTTTAAAAAATCATCTAGGATGGCAGCAATAACGCTGCTAGATAGCCATAAGATTAGGAGTTGCACATAAATGGATAATATATCCCTGCATGCTTGAACAGGAACTTGAATATAATATTCTGTAGCTCTTTTCTCCATAGAAGTAAACTTTTTTTTTTATCCTTATGCGTAGAAGCAAACTTTATAGATCAACCCTTCAAAGACCTCATATAAAATCGTAGGATCATCCTTCAAGTAATCCAGCAAAATTCAAGGGGGGAAATCTTTGGTTGTTTCTAAGTTCTCTTAACCAAAAAGAAGACATTTAGTGGTTCTTGTATTAAATTAATAGAAGGAAACAAAGCAAGCAACAAAGTTCAATTAATCAACTTGGCAGAACCCTACAAAACTCAGAAAATAAAGCATGCACAGAATAATTCCACTAGAACAGGTTACAAGAGATAACATGAAAGGGTCCTAGAAAATGCTGTGTTAGAATTGAAAATAGACCTACTGATCAAAAAAAAATGAAAATAGGCCTTATGGCCTCTTGCATGCTCCCTTAGAAACCCGGCTACGACTATAGAATAAATGAGTTATATAGAAATCACCAAATAAAATAAAATTCTGTAGCTTTGAAAGTTCTCAGTTCACCACCACTAGAACCCAACTACCCCAAGCCATTACAAATCAAAACCAAGACAAGATTCAAAATAAATGACTGTCAGAGTTAAAAAAAAAAAATTAAGAGAAAAGTGGACAGGAACCATGCTGCACTCAATTTAATTAAAGTTAGAATCCAAAGCAAAGCACTGTAAACAAAACCCTAGAAAGTAGAAACACATGCACATGTGTAGTGTCAACACGTTAAAGGAAGAAAAATAAAAAAAAAAAAACAAGCCAAACCAAACACCATGCGAAATTCCAGAAACAAAAGAGTACCATGCGATATTCCATACACCATTGACTTACCGAAGCTTGCCCCGAGCTCTCCAATGGAGAAAACCCTAAGGAGAAAGAAGAGAGAGAAAGAGAGAGAGAGAGAAAGAGAGGAAGAGGTGTGGAGGGAGAGTTCTAGAGAAAGACAGAGGTGGAAAGCTTTTGAATTTAGAGTCGGACGGAGGGGAGGAGGAAGTTGCAGGGAATCGGGTACTTAGGCCACGTGTCGTATAGAGAGGAGTGCTGACAGAAGAGAGTACTGTACTAAGATTTCCACGTGGACGAATCTCAATGGCTCTTTTTCATGAAAAAAGATGCTCCGTTTTTTAGACAGGTTGCCGTAAATGTCTCTAAACATACGGAGGGGAAAAGGACATGACTCATTAGAGTTCAGTGGCATTTTGGTGAAAATGGGTAGAGCGTAAGGGTGATTTAGTCTTTCCATATCTTTGCTAGTATTACCACGTGCAAGGTGTGTGGCTCAGCTGAGCGAGACACTGCGGACTAGGCCACGTGCAAAATGTACTCTGATCTTTCTGGTATTGGGAACTGTGAGGTCCTCACATGCATATCTCACCATGCATTGGGAACATCTTCCATTCTCCCGTGTATAATAACGTATAAATACGGGCCAATGCATGGTGAGATATGTCTGTGAGTTAAGGCGCCCTGTGTCATGAGCACATCGGGTCTCATCTTTCTGTTCAATTCTGGGTCCCATGAACCACTTCACGTGGACCATACACGCGACAGCTTTAGATTCCAGCCAGGAGAAGTTCTTCAACAGCTGGACCACCGCAGGAAAAATATTTAAGAGATATTATTTTCAACGACCTTATAAATTATGATTTTGAATTCAGTATATAAATTTTTAGTTATTATTAGAGGTGTAAAGTGGGTCATGCCAAGCCGGCATGGTATGGCTCGTGGGTGGCCTATGTAAAGTGCGGGTCGTGCTGTCCTGGCCCACGGGCCATTATGGGCTAGACCCGTGGACCGAGCTTTGGGTCAGGTTGGACTGTACATTGGGCCAAAGTTATTTATTTAAAAAATTGATAAAAAAACTTAAAATTTTAATTTTATATGAATTTTGTGTTTACAATTGCTTATATATACAATAATTAAATAAGTTAGTATAATAAAATTAAAAAATATATATTTATTTTATTAATATATTATATATTATTATATAATTATAATTATATAATATTATATAAATATATATAAAATATATATATATGGATCGTGCTAGGTCGAGCTACGGGTTGGATCATGCCGGCCCATGGACCTAAAACCCCAGGCCCAACACGGCCCACAGACCATTATACCGAACCATGCCGGGCTTATTCAAATTCGTATCTGGCCACAGGCAATATGACCCGATTTACACCTTTAATTATTACACATAAGGGTTCACGTTTTAGTGCCCGTTTGAGAGGGCTGAACGAGCGGAGGGACTCCTCGCCTTTCGAAGTCGCGATGGAGATGATCTTGTGTTTATTATCCAATCATCCCGACAGCCTCGAAAGCATTAGAATCAGCTTAACTGAATCTTCACCTCAGCCAGTCAGCCCTCCCAAATGGGCCCTCGTTAGAAGAATTGCCAGCCGAACCACCCTAAGGTTTTTCTTGTGACCCGGCGTGGACTGAATTGTTGGACCGTCTTACCCACAACCCAATGTTCCCAGTACCTATATGGATTAGTGGACCAATCCGATCGGATAAGAAATCCGGTGATCTGAATTCGATAAAAATCCATCAAATTTCTAAAACTATGATTTGATTTGGTTATCTTATTAGATATCTGATAAGATTTGAATTGTAAATAAAAAAGTTGATGATATAATATAAAAAATATATTATAATATATAATATAAACATATGATACAACCTAAAGTCCAAGCTACGACGAAGAGGATAGTTGTGACCAAGGTTTTTAAAATCAATCTAAATAACGAATCGGTCATATTGAATGGCTCATTCTAGAAAAAAATAAAAATGGTCAAAATTGTTGAACAGTTTGAACGGTTCAACTTCTTGGGCCAGCGATTTATTGACTAAATCAATGTTTTTTAGCAAAATTCGGCTTTGAAGGAAAACGAAATCAATCACCTAACCGGTTCCCAATTTTTCCGGTCTGACCATCCAATCCAATCCGGTTTTGAAAACCATGATTGTAACAAGGAAATCCCTTATTGCCATGAGACCTTGGCAATTATCAGCTTTCCGCAGTCAAACTCCCAAAGTGCAATGACTAAAGAGCCGACCACCTAGCAAATACCTCGTTGATCCCTTGACGCCCATATTGCTCTCTAGATTCCACCAACCACCCGTTTCCATTTTGATCTTAAGCTTGCTTGATTTATCAATAACCCCTTTGTTTAGTTATTTTGGGCTATTGATTAAGCATCAATATTTGTATTACTCTTCTCTTGTCACTATGTAAACAAGATCAAGCTTTGAATTGAACAATTCTTGATTTTGAATACTAAGAGCCTATTTGGTTCTTTGGAATAGGGGTTTGGAATAAGAACTGAAATGGATTATTCCAATTTAAATTGTTTGGTTGGGCGGAATTGGAATCCCATTGATGGATCAAGGAACGAGTTATCATTCACACAAGGCAGCTTAATGCGTGATGAACCAAGTAAAGTTTGGGGCAAAGAAATCTCGTTCTCATTCCTAATGGATGATTTTAAGGTAAAGGGTGATGATTTTAGACAAAATTAGGTATTAGAGGTGTCCTTATGGGGGACTAGGAATTATGAGGGCTCGAGGTCTCTTCCCCCTTCTCGCGTGTGAAGGAGGAGAAGGTGGAAGGAGGGGGGTCATGGCTATAAATACCCCTCAGCAGATGTAACCAAGGACATATGTGAATGGTAGGTGAAAGGGGTTAAAGAAAATTAGAAATGCTTATTATTCATGTTATGAGGAAAACATGCCTCCCTCGGGTCAAATTAAGCCAGGCCTGACCCGGTCCTTACACAAGAGAAAGAGTGCCCAAGGTGGTCGTTGTTGTAGAAGAGCTAGATTGGGTTGTCACTTCCGGTTCTGGTTCCCAAGTGGCCTCTTAGATCCTGTCATGTGCGCCAAGTAGGATCGAACCCTGACATAGCAATATTATTTGAAAATAAATTTTAAAAAAAATAAATTTACAATATAAATTATTTTAAACTAGGAAATTTACTATATATATAACCTGGTCAAGTTGAAAAATTATTAAACCAAAGCTAACCAAAAATATTAAAAAACCAACCAGCTCGGGTCGAGTTGGTCGGATTGGCCAGTTTCATCAATTTGATGAACAACCACACTTGAGCCTTTTCGCTTTATTCACATCTCGGTCAATGACTGACATAGGTAAATGCACTTATTCAATCAAGTGTTTCTTTGGAAACACTTATTTAGATAAGAGCACTATCCAATGTTCTTTATTCCCTAGGTATAGGTGTACAATGACTAATTTCTCAAAAAAGTGACATTATTGAAGGGACAATATTCTTCCATCAAGTATTAGCAATTTTTTGTGCATACAGATAAGTAATTTATCCAAGTCTGAGCAATGTATTATTTCCCCAGATAATGGGACCCACTAAAACAAAAAAAAAAAAGAACGTGAGTTTATTTCTTGTCCATGGATCCTAATACCCTATCATGCATTTAAATTTAGAGTAAATTGTGGCAAAGAAACTCCCTCCAAATTCAAGGGCAAGTGTCATCTATGTGCAAGTGTGATTACAAATGCAGAAAATAATACATTTGTAAATGCATAATTTCATGGATGCCCCACATATATTGATGCATGTGCACGGATATAGGCCGACATCATCATCAATATCTAAGATTAATCCCAACTATATGAGGACAACCACAAGAATCCTATTTTCCCATACTGATGTAGGTGCATTCGGCTGGCCTATACAAGGTTGACGTGTGTCAAATGGAGGACACCCACATAGGCTAACCATGAGGATGCTCAGAGTTACCTGACGAAGACTAGGCAGATCCAATCGTAGGGCGCCGTGTGTGGCAGAACATCTCGCCAGGCCCTCATATGGCTCGCATTTGGACCATCCGAATCCAACTACCCCTTGGCAGCTCCGGCTATAAATGCAAGGCACCCCCCACAAGGTAAGGGATGGGAATGCACTTGAAACCTTTGTGATCTCTAGTGTTCTCCCACTCAGGACTTAGGGCTATCTGAGACCTTGTCTGGACCCCCTCGGCTCCAAACTCTTCACTTACCTCGTGTACGTACTAACTTGATCGTCAGAGTCCTCGCCTCGGGTAACCACCCGAGGCCTCTGACACCCTCTCCCTTGCAAGTTCGTCATTGTGGGAACAACACCTCGTCCTCCCTCGAACACCCTTCTCGGTACAAGCCCTCGGCTTCTATAGTACCCGAAGGAGCAATACGCCTCGGCCACCAGTCCTCGGCCTTGGCTTATCCCCTCGGGATCCTCAAAGCCTTCGGCCTTCCCTCGAAGCTTGGGAGTGAAATTACTTTGTTGCCCTCAGCCAAACCAAGCATCAACAATTGGTACAGTCCATGGGAACTATTGCTAAGGCGATCCCTCAAAACACTACAAACTCGAGATCTCTTAAAGTTTCAAACACCACAGTATGAAGGGCCAAGAACCCCCAGAACCTGGTCGCGAGCAAACAATTCCAAGCCACTCTCGACTGCCTGGAATACCTCACGCAACGCGTGGAACAAGCCACCCCCAGGTAGGAGGTCCCTCCCGAGGCGACCGCCCCATCGGGGTGTCGAAGGGTCAACGTGAGCATGTCAAGCCCCAAAGGGCCGAGTCCGCCGAGTCTGGCAGTAGCCAACCCGCCACGCCCAACCGAAGGGGGGAAGAACTAGTGTGGTCCGAAGACAACCGCCAACCTTCTAAGCAACATCATCGTCGCTAGAGGGATAACCCTTGGGATGAGGGTGGATACATCAGCCGTCGTAGCACCCACTCAAGGATCGAGGGCCGATGTCACGCCTCTCCCACGTCGGTCTCAGACCTCCGCGACATCCTAAACGACCGCCACGCTAGACGGGAGGCGCGAGGTCTTGTCTTAGAGCATTCTGAAGTTCATGTGGATCCCCACCATGCCCGCGAAGATAAAGACGGGTGGCAAGCCCCACCCAACCTCGGAT